CTGCCGGCCTCTGACGAGGGTGTCGTTGCAGGGTCGCCCCCATGTTGCGTTTTCCGACCTGTTTCCCGTCCTTCCGGGTGGTGGGAGAGAAGCAGCTGCCGCAGGAGATCATTTTTCTGGTCTGGTCACCCAAGCGGGATCTCATTGCTTTGGCCAACACCGCGGGCGAGGTGAGTGAGCCGGCGTTGAACCCCGAGAACTCCGAGCCCCACCGACAGCGAGCAGGTACAGCTTGCCCCAGCCTCGGTTTATCGTTCTGTGAACTTGACGAGCCATCTGTGTATCCTGCCCCTCCATTCCAGGCCGGCTGTAAACTTCAAATGAAAGTATAAGGGACCATATACGGGAAAGATCATTTATATGTCCATTCTCCGTATTTTATGGCGAAAATAAGTTTTCACACAGTTTAACACAACCACACAGTCTGGCATCGCCAGGTCTCCTTTAATCATTTATTTGCTAAATGGCCTTTTTAAAAGCCCATGATGTGTCACTCATGAACTAGACATAGTAGTAGATCCACAGACTCTGACCGAAGTTCAGTTGAAGTTTAGTAGCAGAAGAAAAATGAGTTATTGTCAGACTAGCTGCGAACGTACGTGCGTGTAGCTGCCACAAAGGATAGGTTTAAGAATCTGTATTATGTTGTCCACGTTTCATACTATGGATTGAATAGCTACTGCCCATTAAAAATACCCTTAAGTTAAACAAGGGAGTGATTGTTTCCCTGGATTCCTGACAGCATGTGCATGAATTTTGTCCGTTAGCATTTCTTGTTCACACGTTATAGTTCATCAAGCTCAACCAGTTGGCCAAACTTTGGGCTGAGAATTATTATTAGCTGGCAGCCATTTTATAAGGAAACCTTCACCTATGTGTATTTCCTCCTTTGGCAGGTTTCCTGATAGTTAGTTACCCCGCCAGGTTAAGAGTTGAATTGTGTGCAGCCAAACTTGGAAACCAGATGGTAAGGAAAACTTAGCCAGGAAAACTTAGCAGCCTGCAGGGCTGTGTCGCTGTGTTGACTGCTGTGACCTCCTGTCTTGAGTACTGAAGCCTATTTCTCAAGGCCCTCAATGAAGTCTCGTCTCTCTCCTCTGCCATGGTGCATTGGAACTCTGTAAGGGCATTAGAGAGGAGTGCAGATAGTACAGCCACAGCAGTAGGAGGGGAGGGAGAGAATAGAGGCATCAGTGTCACCAGATGGGTAGATGTAATACTGAGCACTTGGAGGAGAAGGGAGAGCTGTGAGAAAGCTGACAAGGCAAGTGGACTAGAGAAACGCAATAGGATTGCTGGTCATTATTAAGAGTCACATGAAGCAAGTTCGAGGGAAACCAGTGAGCATGGCTGTATGTCTCTTCTGTTCTTTTTGGCTGTGTGGGTGCAGGAATGGTTAAGTTTAACCAGGGTGGTCGTTTTGCAGGTATGACAGAGCAAGAGATATGCAAGGAAGTTGAAGTATATGCAAGAGGAGTGATTATAATGATGAACCTTGCATTCTAACGTGATTAGTAGGGAAGTGAGGGCACGTGTGGGGTGAGGAATAATGAATAGGAGGAAGAATCAGCGGGTTGTCTGTCTCGAGGTTGAAGAGTTGAAGTTGGGTATTAGTAGGAATGAGCTGGAAAGAGAGGTGGTGAATGGAAAGTGGGATGTTTGAAACTGAACTTATGGCAGCATTTGTAGTTGTCGGTAATGATACAAGGGCAAGGGCGTGACCCTGGGATCGACTGAGATGAGGCAGAAGATGTGATCATTGGAGGGGAGGTAGTTGAGAACTTAAAAGCTCTTGAAATCACTAAGAATGATGATGACTAGTGTTGGAAAGCATGAGTGAGCCAGACTGGAGTCCACATCTTTCAGGAATGAGGAGCGTGACCTAGGGGCCTAGGGGGATAGCAGGAGGTATGGTCTGATTGCATAAGATTCAGAGTTATTTTAGAGAAAAGGAAAATCATGTAGAAATGGCATCGAGCATCAGTGAGGAAACCTACTTCATCTCCTAGCCCAGTAGTAGCACAGGGGACATGGGCTGCAAAACAGCCATCACCTGAGAATCCTGCAGGGAAGCAGTGTCCTCAGGCGAGAAACACATTTCAGAGAAGAGAATGAACATATAGGGGATCTCTGTGATACCTGACCGTGGATCCCGGAGGGTACAGAGGAAGGGTTTCAGAAGTAAGGAATGGCAGAGATGGGCTCAGAAAAGAGCACCGAGTCGAGGGGATGAATGATTCTTTGGGAGTCCTGGCTTCCCAGTGGGGACGCATGTGACCAGGAGTGAAGCTCTCTGAGATAAGGCAGGGAGTGGTAATGCTGTGAATGTGTGGTACTGAGAAGGTGTGGCGGGGTCTTCAGGAGCACATGCAGTTCTGCCTTTTCTTAGAAAGTTTTAGTGGTTGTATAGAGGATGGAGTAGGTACAGTCATGTTTTTGAAGCACAAGGAACCTTGACCCTTCAAGATGGGAATTTACTCATGTGGAAATGGAAGTTGGGAATGGCTAATTGACTTGTCCAGGATCCTTGGCCATTAAGTAACAGGGCTGAAATAAGATCCTGAGTCATCTGACTCCAAATTTACTGTTATTTGACTATATATCACAGCTATCTTTCTGCTGCTATTCATGTTCTTCCCTTTTTGTCATCATCTTCTTGGACAGCCTTTATTCCTTTCCAAAGACAAGTTTCCTGTTGACATAAAAGATAGGAAAATGTAGAGGGTAGAGGGTTAAATTAGACCTGTTTTACCCATTTTGAAAATACCTCAAGTTCACCCTTTGAAAATACCTGAAATTGATTCAGAGAGCATTGTTTTCTAATCTTTTCTGATAGCTAAATAGTATATTTGAGATGATTTTTAATCTTTTTTATAGTGGGGATCTAGGTTTATTTTATTTTTGGAAATGGAGTTTTATTTTCTACCATTATATCTGTTTTGTCTTAGGTTTTACTTCATCGACTTGCAAGTTTTCATCGAGTTTGGAGTTTTCCACCAAATGAAAATACAGGAAAAGAAGTGACCTGTCTGGCTTGGAGACCAGATGGCAAACGTAATGATAGTATTATAAAAAATACATTTTTATTCTTTACAAACAATATTCCACAAAGAAAGCTTATTTCCAGAAAGAATTCATTGTCCTTATTATATACTAGATTTCTAAATGCCAATTTGGGAACTTCGGTTTTTAGAAAGCTTTAAAGTATTTTCGTAGAACTCAATTCTACTGTTTAGTTTCTGGGCAAAGATATCTCTAAAATAAAATCTGACTTCTTGGCAAAGATAATTCTAAAATGAAATCTGGTGGAGTATACAGAATACTTTGGTTTTGCTCTTTTCTCTGTCTTGCCCTGCACTGGCCAGAGCTTCATCTACCACTCACTAGTCAGTTCATGGCCCTTTTCTCTCTAAAATGTATCTTAGCATTAAATGTGCCTCATAAAAATTCTCTCTGCTTATATGCTTGCCTCACCTGAAGGACTGTCAGCTCTGACCCCATTTCTTCCATTTCTGTATTATCTTTTGCCTCTTGATGTCCTTTATTTCGTGGCTTGTTAATGTTGTAGCTCGCTATGACTATGACTCTAACAACTAAATTCTCTTCTCCCATGTGTTGTTTTTGCAGCGACAGTTATATGAACTGTCATATGCATATAGTCAGTACAGTAAAATGTTTTAAATCATAGCTTAGAGTTCATCTGTATCATTGGTGCTTTATGAAAAAAAGCTGAATTGTTTTTTGTAAAATATGTATTCTCCATTGTATAACTTTTTTTCTATATAAATAAGTCTGTAAAAATGCCCTGAAAGCCTGTCACTTACAGATAACTATTTCTACCTGTACTCATTTTGCTCTGCTCTTGTTTTATCTTATTTTTAAAAAGTATGTGTAAAATTAGAGGACTTTTGTAAGTAACATCTTGAGATCTTACAGTATTCATCTAAAAACACCAGGGTCTCAAAAATAAATCATGAAAGTCAGTGTGTGAAAATGTATTTAAGTAGATGATATTTTTACCACTAAAAAATATGTCTTGTATTTTTGGACAGTAAAAAAGGTTTTATTAGGTATTGGTTATTTCAGGATTGCTTTAAATTGTTTGGAAGAGGAGGAAACCTGGATTGCCGTACATCTAGCCAAGTTGCATGTATTGGTACATAGTGAAACTCAGCCCTCTATTTAGAAATTCTTAAATTTGATTGTCAGGAAGATGGTAATGACTTACATAGAGAAACTGTACTTGATAATTGGGTCACAGTGAAAGGAAAAGGACTCATCAGTATCTGATGGCTTTGTTGTCTATGAAGAGTTAGAAACAAAAAAAAGGGTGGGGGGGACTTTCCAAGAACCAAGCAGATGGAATGCTGCTTATCTTTTGCGCATGTTTACGGGACCAATGCGTCTTGGTGATATGCTGTTGTTTATCAGTTGGGACCTGTTTTGTATTTTCTGCTTGGCTGCTGGGTTCCAGTCTAGAGGCTTTGATGTGTAAGATGTTAAGTGCAGTACACAGAAAGTAGTAGAGCGTTCATGAAAGTTTGAGCATTTGGATGTAAGCTTAGATAATGGCGTAACTACCTGCAATGGTATCTTTTAGGTTTTAAAATATTATTTACAGGAAGAATTTTTAGGTTAAATGAGTTCTGTGATCTCAGTGTATTTAAAATAGTAAAACTGAGCAAGAAGTAAAATACCCATTTATTTTTCTCAAACATTTCACGAATTTATTCTGATTATTTCTTCTTGTTTTAGTTTTGGCCTTTGCTCTTGCTGACACCAAGAAAATTGTTTTGTGTGATGTAGAAAAACCTGAAAGCTTGCACTCCTTTTCTGTGGAGGCTCCAGTTTCTTGTATGCATTGGATGGAAGTCACTGTAGAAAGCAGGTAAAGTAATTGAAAGAGAAAAACTTCAGTTTTCACGATAGGATGTTTTCACGATAGGATGGCGTTCATGAAATATTCATTTTCTAAAATGGATACTTAGTATCTTTATATTGAGTATGTGTATGTTGCATTTAACTTTTAGTTTCAAGATAAAAATTTTTAATACTTTGTTAGTTTTTTTTCAGTAATGCCTAAATGGCCAAGTTGTTTCTTTTTAGTTATTTTTATAGTTTATATCAATAATTTTTACTATCACGTAATAATTAAAATTACTAATTAGCAAATCGAGGTTCTGGTCGCCATGTGTTTTGTCTAAAGCTTTGTGGTTTGTGTGTGTGCGCGTGTGTGCCTTAGTAAATATTTTTAGAGTACAAAAAGTGCTAATTTGACTATTCTGTATTGATGCTGCACAGGTTCTTTCTGTGTCCATGGTCCCAATAGTTTCCTTGTTTTTCGAAAATAATTTTGCCTTTTATCTGTGTAGTAATATACTAGGTTTGCAGTAAAGGTGACCTAAAAGATCAGTGGGTTTAGGTAATAATAAAAATATACATTTTTTTTTTGAGGAAATGTGATAATTTTCTTTCCATTACCTTTTCCCTTCTAATTGAATTTTAGGTTAATATCAAATGAATTTATAAATTCTGAATATTAATTGACAAATTCCCTAAGAAGGGGCCTGTAAAGAATTGGATCATAAGAATCTAGCCTGGGTTTTGAAATTCATTGTAGATAAAACAAAGCAGTTAATCAATATCAAATAATCAAGGATTGTCTACGGCCATGCCCCTTGAACACACCCAATCTCATCTGATCTTGGAAGCTAAGCAGGTTCGGGCATGCTTAGTGCTTGGATGGGAGACCATCTAGGAATACCGGGTGCTGTAGGTGTAAAATAAATAAATAAAAATAATCAAGGGTTGCAAATGGTCATGTGAACTTAAGGGAAGTTAGAGGAGCAGTGTTCACTATGTAATTTCCATCCCAGACAAGTTACCTAAGTGTATTTTTAACACTTTCTACGAATAATTTAGTAGTTTAGAAATGTTATGTGGTGATTTCAGGGTCTCTTGAGACATGTAGTTTGTGGTAAAGTGGGAAAAAATGCTTGCCATGTCATCCCTTTTTCACCTTCTCACTCATTTATTTCCAACCTTAGTTGGAGGTAGGATTGAGAAAAAATAGGAGATGAGTAAGTCTGTTTCAAAATGCATGGTGTCATCTTATATACCTGCTGGGCTGTCATATCCACAAATGTATGTAAGCCATAGAACCCATATTAAATGATAAGTGTTCTTTAAAATTACTCTCGGTACGCATATGTTTAGTGATGATTCTTAGAGTTAAGAAATCAAATTCTCAGTATCTCATGCTCAATACAAATGAATATATTTCATATGCTGAGATAATTGTTTATTAATACTTGTTCCTCTAAATGTAAAGTGAGTAGGCTGGGTTTTTTTTTTTTCCAGAAATAAAGCCCATTGTATGTAAATAAAGAATTTCCTGCTTTTCTATTTTTTGTTTGTGACTGTTATGACTATTTTACAATGGTAACATATATGTGGCATCTCCTGACTTGCTAAGGTATAGTATGTAAAATTGGGCATTTAAAAAAATTAGTATTTTTTACTAGAGAAGTAAAATCTTTGGGGTTTTTATACTTTTTTTTTTCCTTTTTAGTGTTCTAACATCCTTTTATAATGCTGAAGATGAATCAAATCTTCTCTTACCTAAGCTACCTACATTGCCCAAAAAGTAAGTATCAGAATTAATTTTATTGGTGTTAATCTTGCAGATTTCTCTTATACGGTGACAGTTCTTTTCTGGTTTAAAAAATATATTTTTATTAACACTTTTTATCCCAATCTCTGTTTTTCTCTAGTTATAGCAACACCTCAAAAATATTTAGGTAAGGCGTGCCTTTTTTGTTTTCAAGTAAGATAATCTTATATTATTTGAAAGATATAGTTTAAAAATAACCTAATTTATTTTTATATTTTAGTGAAGAAAATTCTGACGAAATTATTAAGCTTTTGGGAGATGTCAGGTAAATTTTGCAGATCTCTTAAATAATAGGTCTCATTCATTAAAGTTGATACTTGATATTTGAGGCAGTTTTCAGTTTCAAGGGCAGTTAGTTCCTTTATTTGTCATGTTGTTTTATTGCTGACGACCCCTGAACAAAATACAGACAATAATATCTATTTGTTTTTATTATATGGTCTTTGATTGTGTTAAGTTTAATAATATTATAGTGTACCTTCGTTTATTTCAAGAAGTAAAGGAAGATTGAAGTACTAGAGTTTATAAAATTTAAATTTAAATATTCAATTCCTTAAGCCCTTTTAATATATTTAGCATCAGAGCCGTGATAAAATTAATAGTACTTTGTATAAGCTGGAAAAAGGATTGTTTTGTTAGTAACAGTATATAAATGCAATCCTTGTTAAAACAATGTATTTTTATTTTGCTGTAAACAGATGTTTTTAGGCTAGAGAAAATTTCATGTTGTTCCTTTGGAAAAATGGAATAAGCCTGATGTGATTGCATATTGGGTGTTAGTGAATTTGTTCGATGTTTCATTTCCCCATGGGGGTACTTTAGCATTCAGATTGTCTGAGAGCAGAAACCATTTACATCTTGGTTTAAGAACTCCATCTTCACTGTTGTCCTCAGCTTCTTGCATTATTTTTAATTAGGCTTAATATTCTTGTCCTTGGAGGAAGCTCTGGTTTTATTGAACTTTATGCTTATGGAATGTTCAAAATTGCTCGAGTCACAGGGGTAAGTTTTTCTTTAATATTTTCCATATCGTTTCTGTTAGAATATAGCAGCTAAAAGATCTGTGGGAAAGGAATAAACACTTTATTTTTCTCAGTTTCAGTTGTTAGAGTTATTTGTTCTTAAATATTAAAAGGATAATTTTCTTACTAAGATAAAATAGTAGTGTTCTGTCTATGAAGATCTATGGCTATTAGTGGAATTAGTCAAGTTTTTTATCTTAACAAAAAGGTTGATAGGATACACTTGATTATGATTTAATGCTGTTCTAGTGTTATGGTAAGTAAGATCTACACTTCATGATTAGAATGTGATGGAAGTCATCAGAAACAATCTTCTGCTAGTGCTGAGTCTCCCATGGTTGCTAATAAGTGTTGATCTTCTCTATAGCTTTTTGTTGTTGTTTTCGCCATAGCTTTTTCATCGTCTTCTTCTAGAGAGGTAGAAAATATTGTAGGCTCTGTGGAATTTGTCGGTTCCCCAACACTTGATTTTGGACCCTTGATATGGGGATGGGGAGGTGTGACCTTGCAGCTAGGTGGATGCATACCTTCATTGGCTATAAACTGCTTTTTAGAGCTCTGGAGTTTGTGTCCTGTATTGTAAGCAGATGCATTATAGCAATAGTACTAAATATACTGGGGAATTTGACTGTCTTACAGATTGTTGGTACTTGTCTTGCATTGTGTTTATCAAGTGATTTGAAATCATTATCAGTGGTCACAGAGGTTTCTGCCAGTGGTGCTTCAGAAGTTTCATACTTTCAGGTGAGTATCGAAACCTGATAGCAGAGAATATATATATATATTTTAAAGATTTTATAGGTTTTTATTATCCATATTGGTCTAATAATGGTCATTAAATCTAAAAGCAAAAAAATTGCCTTTCAGCTTCTAAATCTTATATACAGAATTTTATTATAACGAGTACCCGAATTATTATTTCCATGGCTCGGTATAGTTTTTCATAAAAAGTGTTTTGATGGTCTATTAATGACCATATTTATATGGTTGCTATACCAGTTATCTATGTACCAAGTGTTTTCTTAAGGCTCTGACCCTAATTGTAATAAAAGCTAATATTTATTTTTCATTATGTGCCAAGAACTGAGTGATTCAGTACAATTCGTTTAAATCCTCACAGCAACCTCATAGGTAGGCACTGTTGTTATCCCTATTTTACATAGACATAAATGGGCACATGGGAGACTGGGCCTTTTTACAGAATTAGAAAGGGATGCTGAGAGTCTTGCTCCAGAGTTGGTGCTCTTAACCAGCATGTTGCCTCTGGTGTCAGATGATCAGTTAATGTGGGAAAAACCTTTTTCAAGTGTCGTTTTTATGTAGATTGTGGAAACCGGGCTCCACTAGAGTATTTAGATCGTAGCCTTGCCTTCAGGAAAATCTTCTCCAAATTTTCATCGCAAATAACCCAGCCACTTAGTCTGGTATACATGAACTCTCAAGCAAAGGTAGAACAAAAAGGATACAAGATGCAATGTGCCTGTGATGCCTTCCAACGTTCATTGTATTCAGAGCATCATAGAACTCTTGACTTCCTGATTGACTGGAAAAGTTGTTCATATTTGCTCTTCATCTTAAAGTTCTGTAAAACTGTGATTTCCAGGATTGCATTTGGTGCTATAACAAAGTGATTCACTATTTCTTTGAAGCTAATAATGAGTATTTTTTAATAACAGCTTTATTGAGATATGTCATATACCATCGTACTGGATATTCAATTTGTATTTATTAATAGCCTATAATTCCTTTAAAAATTTTACATGTATTTGTGATCATTTTTTGAATTTCTCATAATAGTGTTGCAAAGTAGATTATTACATTTATTTTAGCTATATAGAGGGGATTGCTAATCTAGGGAGGGTGATTTGTGTACAGTTAAACATGGCAGGTTAGAAAATTCTAAGGTTATGTTCAGTTAGTCTCAAAACTTATGCACAAAGGGAGCAGAATTCTGACAGTCTTTCCAATATGTAGTTAGACCTTGACTTTTCTAAATTATAGGTCTTTTTTTTTTTTGAGCTGGAAGGAACTGCTTTGCTATTTTTAAGTTTTTAAAATTTCTTTTTCTAATTGAGGTATAATTGACATGTAACATTAATTTCAAGTATATAATGTAATTTGATATTTGTAGACACTATGAAATGATCACAATAACTAGTTATCATCCGTCACCATACGAGTTACACGAATATATATAAATATGTATGTGTGTTTGCGTATACACATAATTTTGTGATGAGAACTTCTAAGATTTACTCTTGATAACTTTAAAACATGATTTAAAATATTATTGACTAGAGTCACTATGCTGTACATTAAGTCCCTGTGACTTATTTATTTTGTAACTGGAAGTTTGTACCAGAGAGGAACTGATTTATCTTTAAAAGATGTATGTGCATTTGTATGTGACTCACTTTTATTATTTTGATTTTACAGCTCGAAACCAATCTATTGTACTCTTTTTTACCTGAAGTAACTCGGATGGCCAGAAAGTTTACTCACATTTCAGCTCTTTTACAGGTATTTATTTATAGCTTGTTTTATGTGAACATTTACTATTAGTTTCTAATGTTCTGTAATTGGAAACTTGAAAACTTTATTTTGTAAAGCTAACTATCTATGGTAGAGGTGTCTAGTCTGATAGGTAATTTTATAATGTCCATTAAAGTAAGAAAAAGAAATTTAATTGACAGTCTACTCCCACCAATTTCTGTTTCTCCAAAAGAAAAGAAAAAGTAGTTTAAAACTTGTCAAATATTTTTATAAATAAAATAACATTTGGAATTTTTAAAGTTTTATTGCAAAGAAAGTATTAAGGAAAATAGTCATATCAGTTAGTTTTTGTGCATAATAAACCCAACCTAAATTAGCTCATGATTCTTTAGGTTGGTGTCTTAGTCTGCAGTTTGGGTGGGTTCAGCTGGAAGGTTCTATTGATCTGGGCCAGGTTCAGCTAATCTCGGCTGGGCTCGGTCTTGCATCAGTAGTCAGCTGACTTAAGTGTCCCTTAGCTGTGATGGCTTTGTCTAGGCTCCACATCCCTCATTTCCCAGCAGGCTGGCCCAGGCTCGTTCATGAAGTGGTGGCAGCAGCAGAGGTGTCAAGAGTGTAGGTGGAAATGTCCAAAGCCTTTTGAGGCCTTGGACTCACAGTATTGCTTCTGCTTTGTGTTGGTCACAGCTAGAACTAGGCCAGCCCAGATTCAAGGACTGGAGAAATTATCTCCGAGTCTGGATAGAGGAGCTACAAAGAATTGTGGCCCTTTTTTTTTTAAAGTCTACCACAGTCACTAATTTACTTGATGTCATAGATTTCTGGAGATCAGTATCTTTTCGAAGGGCCTGTTTGAAAATTGAATAGCTGACCAAACCAGCATTTTGACAGTTTACGTAAAATATATCTTATGTATAAAAAGCTGAAGATATCTATTTTACCAAATAAAAACTTAAGCATGTTTGATAGTTAAGTGATTATCATATGTTAGCTATGGTCTTCTCTTTCTGGGGCTTAACTGAGTTAAAGTGATTGAAAATAATTTCTGGGTTTCTCTGAGAAAATTGACAGTAAGAAGCACATATTATTTAGTTAGCATAATGATTTAAATATTTTTTACTATATTAATATTTTCTTCTTGTTAATAGTATATAAACCTATCACTGACATGTATGTGTGAAGCATGGGAAGAAATACTAATGCAGATGGATTCTCGTCTCACCAAGTTTGTGCAGGTAATGTAACAGGTTTCCCATGGAAGGGCTAAAAGGCTGCATGATCTCCTTATATACTGCATGAGCTACGTGAGAGAAATCGGTCTGATTTGTAAAAGGTTAAGATCATGATTTCTTTCAGCGACCTTGGTCTAACTTTAAGCTATTTTCTCAAAAGATAAAGTACTCTCTTGCCCCTGGTACAAACTCAGGTGGGGACAGGACTGTGAAGTGGAGCAGTGGGGCTTGGGGAGTAAGGGTGGGTGTTGAGAGAGCTGACTGGCTGTTTTCTCGTAACCGATTCTCAGATCATCAATTGAAATACGGATTTGAGGGATGGTTGAGGAAAAGGAAGGGAGTCGTGCTCTTGTAATTTTGAATAAATATGATTTTCATTTAAGAAATTCATATCATGATTATCTATTTTGTCTAGGAAAAGAACACTACTACATCAGTGCAAGATGAATTCATGCACTTGCTGTTGTGGGGGAAAGCTAGGTAATGAATTCATGATACGTGCTTTTACTTTTCCCTTTTCTAACATTTCAAAAGTTACTCATATTTATCATAAACAAAATAGAAAATTCAGGTGCACAAGAACAAAAATAATATGTATTTTTCTAGGATTTTCTATGTACTTTTTTAAGTAAATGCGATCATTTTGTGTGTGTATAATATACATGTATTTTTTATATAGCCAAACCAGTCTTTTTCTTTGTAGTATCTTCCCTAGCATTCTTGAAAAGACATTTCCCATCTTAAGAGTGTTTATAGATTGATCTGTATTTTCATCTAGAGTTTTTTAGTGGTTTATGTTTTATTCCATGTACATGTTCCAGATGCGATATATTTGGTTCTGTGCTGTGGAAGGCTGCTTTTTGTGTAGATGTTTAGGTACTTGCCCAGTGGGGAGTGTCACACCTCCTCCCTTCTTTGACGTGCCCTTGGGCACACAGGACACTCTCTACGCTTTGG